GGGGGGGGGTATGGGGAGTAGAAGGCGGGGGGGATCAGGGACTAAAAATGAAACTAAAACAGAAACCTCAGTTGGAATATGTGTATAGACAAGGCGAGGTCCCTGTCCTCTCCGCCTTCTCTCTGAGGATTGTTCGGGAATGACATACTGCTGACAGATGAGAGAGAATCTGCTTCTTTAAACTTCACCTGAGTCGTCCCTTTTTCCTCCTCTATACCCCTCCACACAACGCGCATTGTCTTGCATTACTCTTTAGACCTCGACAACAGGCTTTGATTTTCAATTCGCAGTGACATCCACAACAGCGGTACCTTTAACCTAATTTGAATTTTTGCATAAACTCTCCCCATCCCAATGTGTCAACCCATAATACTACAAAAAAAAAAAAAGATGTGGATCTCATTTCTTTGTCACTGTGTATTTCGGTATAGCAGCCTTAGATCCCGCTGGTTGCTAAGGAGCGAGTGCTCCACTGCTCTAATGGGCTGATTTGGTATTCAGCTCGATGCTGGCTCTTATTTTGGTATGCCAGACAAAGTGTTTTGATGGAGGACGATTGCAGCCGCGTCTGGAGACAGTTTGATGGTTTATGGATGAGAGCACACTCCGTGCCTTTGACTGCACAAGACAATGCACTATGTTCTCTTCTTCCCTTATCACACAATCTCACACAACACAACACACCACACTGGACAGCGTCACACAACATCAGGATCTACAACATTGCTCTAGTGTTACTACTATATAAGACCACTCTCTACCAAGTTTTATTTTTGCTCCGTGTAACAAAACGCACAGTTCTAAAACAGTAACAGTTTGTTTTCAAAAATTGTTGTTTTTAGCAATGAACAGATTGGGGCTTTTTTGTTATTTGTGTGCAGCACTGGGAACAGTGGCACAGTGTCTGTGTATAGAGGCATCGTAAGAGTTGAAAGAGGACCACATTTAGGCTGTAGCGCTCAGAGTTCCCAAAGCTTGTGGGTGTTTTAATGAGTCATTTTAACTTCATTTAAAGCCAGCTGAGCAGAAAATAGATCAGTGAATGAGCCCTGGGCCAGTATGGATCTGCAACCGATTTACATCTCTGTGAGAGCCAACCCACATCCAAACAGCTGTGTGTGTGAGTGAGAGTGAGAGAGAGAGAGAGAGAGAGAATGTGTGTGTGTGTGTGCGCATGCGTGCGTGCGCCTATCTGTCCTATGTGTCTGTCTGTGCAGGTGTGAGGTGAGTGCAGAACAAGGATGGAACATTTCTGCAAGCAGTATGCATACTTGTCTCTTTCATGTCTTCATCACAACAGACAAGGGCATTCCAAAGGTGAACTGGGAACTGTAGTTACAGTGTATGCGATGGGATTTGGGGTGTTGACTCTGAACTGTTTTTTTGATAAAGGGATGTGCCGTAGGCGGGAAGCGTCTGCTGTAGAGAGAACACCCAGTCCTTCTGTGGCCTCTCAGGCAGACAGTCTGCTCACTGTTCAGAGACTGATAACAGGGCACGGTAAATAAAACTCTTCAGCTTGGCTCTTTTTTGTCAAGAAGAAGGGCCGTTGCACCCTGTCTGGTGCTTTTGTTTGTCCTGAGTTGTGTTTTTATGGCGCTTTCCTCTGCTCCATTGTACTCTGTGCATTTGCTTCCTTGTGTTAACACCTGAAAAGCACAAGTGTGTGACAAGCGAGGCTCTTTGGTGACTTTTCAAATAGGACGCCTTTGTTCCAATCTTGTTGCTTTTTCCACAGTTCTCTTTAAATGCTAAATTAACTGACTTACTCTACAATTACAAACGCACATGTTTACTGTCTGATCAAGATTCCTTCTTATAAAATTTGATTTTATCTACAGCTCCTGCAGAGGCGCTGGTGTGTGATCAGTGTGGAGCAACATTCTCCTCAGAGGATGCTCTGGAAGCCCACAGGCAAACACACACAGGTACTCTACAAACATGTGTGCATGCACTAACACTCCCTCCACCCACACTCACTCACATATTATGTTTAACCTGGGCAGGATGCATTGAGCTGTTGAGTAAGCCGTGACTACAGGACTTGTGATCATGGGTCTAAACTTGCTTGTCATGCTGGCTGGGTTAAACTGTTCCTGTCATGATGCTCCATAATTTATCAACATGGAGGTGGGAGGCCCTCTCACATATCACCCACTAATATCTCTTGGCATCCAGACTCACTGCATGCCACTTTGCCACGGCCGTAGCTTTCCAGCGCCAGCATTACAGTTTCACAGACATACTATCCTCACCTCCTGCCTAAGAGCGCCTGAGGAATTATTTACACTTCCACTCAACAACAAGACCAACACCTTTTTGCTTTTTCAATAATCTCAGATTAAGAAAATGTTTGTATTACAACATTTTTCCTGTCCAGTGAATGGCATTAACAGGTGGTGTCAGGATGTATCCAAAACATTTTTTTCCTCGAAAGTTGTCTTTTTTTTGGCTGAGAGGCTGCACAAACCTGGATGGTGACTTGTGATTTGCAATCTGGGTTCTTTATAGTTTGGAACAACCTGCCTGAGGAGCTGAAGTCATTTTCATCTTTTCAATCAATGTTTAATGTCCACATTCCCAGACTTCTGTATTTTTAGTAGCTAGCAAACAAAACCTTACTTAGATGGCACTTTTCGAGTGTTTTATAGAAAGAGGAAAAGGGAAACAGGACAGAGAAGGCAATATATAAAACAAGGGAAATTAAGTTCATGAACCATTAAGTAGACGCTATAGAAGTACTGTTAGTGCTACTTTATTAGTGTTATAGAGTAGAGCTATAGGGTTAATAAGTTGTCAGTAATTACCTCACTGATGGTCAGTAATACTTCCTCTACAAACTTTAAACATAAAATACATAAAACCTAATAAAATATATAAAACAAATGCTTAATCTTACCGCACGCGCCAACATAAAACTATGTCAATGTAATAAAAAATAAAAAAAACATTTTTTTTGCAGTTGCCAGGTTCTGTGTCTACATTTTAACATTTTCTGGCTGGTGTGTATTCTCTGCCAACATGACATGCTTTGACACCCTCTGAAAGAAAGCTTCGAAAGAATCCAAGTACATAAAAACCTGTAAAGACTTAAACTCTACCACTATCATTTATAGATTGAAGCTGGTTGTTTTTTTTTTTTAAAGTAAATCTGAAACAATTAGCTGGTTAATATAGTCAATCGACTAACTATTTTGCAACTAAGTAATTTTGAAGCAAAAAATGGCAAAAATGTAAGGCTACCAGCATCTATAATATTAACATTTGCTGGCCTTTTATGATAGTGAGTTTGAGTTTCTGGACTGTTTGTGAAGGAAGGTTTTCAGACGTGATAAACCAAACGATACATCAATTAAAAAGGACAAGTGTGTAGGATTTAGTGGCATCAAGTGGTGAAGGGGCAGATTGCAACCAACTAAATACCTCTCGTCCTCCAAGTGTGTAAGAGAAACTACGGTGGCAGGGAAGCAACGTGAAAGGCCCTGTCTAGAGCCAGTGTTTGCTTTGTCTGTTCTGGGCTACTTTTGAAACATGGCAGTTCAACATGGCACCCTTCGTAGACAAGGACCCGCTCCCTCTGTAGATAAAAATGACTCATTAGAAGGTAGCAAAAACATGATTCTTATTTTCATATGATTATACACTAATTAAAACATCCTTATGAATATTATATTCAGTTTCTGCCAATAGATTCTCCCAACAAATTTACAAATTTCCCCCCGGGGATCAATAAAGTATTTCTAATTCTGATTCTGATAAATGTTACACAACAGACTTAAAAGAAAATAATTTATGATGAAAACAACAGTTGCAGCACTATTTTAAAGAAGACAAAATACCTATGACCCAGTTTTTCCACTTTATAATACTAATGTCAGATAAACACCAACTAACATGATGAATCAGTTAAACATGAACAACAAGCTGACAGGTTCTGTATTGTCACTTAATACTGCTCTTTAAAGCATTAATAACTACTTTATTGCCATTGAAAAACACATTATTGACAACCTATAAAGTACGCCTTGTAGCGAAGTGGCACTCGAATATTATCCCATTAGTTCGAAGTGAGAAAGACTTAACACACGTTTAAATCAAACCTCTCCAACTGTGAAAAAAGGCTGCATTGTTGTCAGATGGTACATATGCCTCACAGTGTCTGAATCCACACCTTTTCTGCTACTGTCAGAGAAAGGTGATAACCCTCTCAGGAGCATTGGCATGTAACTGTAACTCCAGGTGGCACACACAGTATGAATACTTAATGGATGTGGACATGGAGGGGTGTTAACGATGCCCAGAAGTTTCTACCCACATCTCCCTGAGTTGTAAACATCCAGAGCTCGGTTTCAGCTTGGCACTGTATCCAGAGCAGGGTACAGAAGGGCATTACTCTCTCATTTTGTCTTGATGTCAGCTCGGTCTGCTGTGACGCATGACCCTTTTTACTGACACTTATTGTAGCTCTCACAGCCTTCACTGATATGAGCTACAGGTAATTTAATCAGTTGTGTTTAGGTAAATTATGGCGTTGCTCTAAGGCAATGCAAAGATTTACAGCGTGGATTTTATTTCTCCTAAAAACACAGTATCTTTCAGTGCGGATCGCGCAGCCTCAGTTTTAATTTGCCATGTGGCATAACCCATGAGCCAAATGAGTTTCCTCTTAGCAGATTAACACTTGTCAGACCTCAGCAGCTGCAACACTGCTGTCCACCTCCTCTGGAGGGGAAATAATACTACTTTTGGGGGACCTTTACTCTGAAGCAGTTTGGCAGCACTGACTACAGTGAAAGTCTCTTTATCCATTTTGATGATATGTCAGAGGTGAATGGCCGTGGGTTGCTGAAGTTAGAGATCAAAGAGGGGGGTGGTTGGAAGGTGGGGGGAGGGAGCTTTGGGGGCGGAGTGGACTGTGGGAAGGGAAGGGGGTAGGGGGTATGTGAGGACTTCCTGAGGGCAAGAGGATTGCTGCTGGTGTTGGATGCCAGGACTGAGAGGAAAACAACATCATGTGCTGCTGTTTACTCCTCACCACAGCACTGTCATAGTCTCCTCTGACCTACTTGTCAGTGCCCAAAATAAAAGAATGGATCTGTCTCCGAATTGCTCTCACAACAAAGGGGGCTGTTTCATCAGAGCAACTCAAGGCTCTGGGGCACCGAGCTTTCAATTTTGGAAAACCCAAGACTGTAGCTTATCTAAAGCACGCACAGAAATTGACTGTATATGCTTCAAACCATGCTGGCCGACCATTTTGCCACCTTGCCTTCAAGGCAAAGGCCATAAGAGTGCTGCCTTTGTGTACTCACAGCAGCTGCACTGTTTCCACACATTACAGGCTGCTTCATCAAGTGAATAATATTACCTTCTGTCTGAGCCCTAATTAAACAGTCCTGAAGTCCATTCAGATACAGCTCTGGCTTTATAATGCAGCCCTCTTAATGCAGACCTTTTAGCTTGCCTAATTGTGTGTCCGTCATCATACTGCACCCTCCTGTTAATACCCAGTTGTAATTCATACAAGCCTTAAACTCAATTGAACTGTGCTCTGTTTGGCCATTGTGCCCCCAGTATTTATTTGCACTCACTGTCATGATAAACAAAGCCCCGGGATGCCCTGCCGTTTCAAGTAGAGTGTAATACAGTAGATTGAGGAAATATTGTAAACATTCTAGGAATGGAGGAGAATGAAACAGTGCATGACCTCAATGAACCGATCCATGGAATGGTGGTTAAACACGAGCAACGTATCTCTTGTTGAATTAATTATTAAGTCGGTTGTTCCTCACTCGGGTAGATTAGCAGTCTACTGACGAGCGCCCGGGGTTGTTTAAGGTACTGTAGCGTTTGTGCATGTGTTTCTAGAGCTGCCATATCCACGGGGAGCCATCTGCATGAACACGCACGGTAGCATGAATGCACAGGGTCATGTGAGGTCCTGCACATAATATAGCCTGCATGACTGTGTATGTTTAACTGAGTCACATCAGTGAGCCAGCAGACAGAGAGCACACTGGAAAAACGCTGAACAGGGCCTTAGGACATAGTTTACAATGTATTCACATTGCATACTGTAGCTGGTGGACATGATCAGCTATGATGTAATATTATAAATTGTGAAATCTGTGTAAAAAATACTTTCCCTTTTCATAACAGCAGGAGATTTGTTTAACTTTGACTTGGCTGTCACAATTTACCAAAACAAATACCTTAATAGATCAGATTCTGCAAGCATTTATTTAAATATTGCCAAATTACAGTTCAATTTAAGTCTTTTGTTTCCATTTATCTCAGCAAATATAAAAGACAAATTATTTCCAAATCAATCCGTTTAATTGGTGGACTCTGGACACTGAAGTTAAGATTAATACAGAAGAAATTATACAGATTTGCGGTCGTCACTGAATACAATCTCTTGTTCAATTTGCAGTGGGTTTACTCCCAGATTCTCAGGGTGGGAAAACTTTTGTTTGCCGCTTGAAAAGAAACAGGCTGCGCTTATTTGTGAATGAAGGGATTAGCTTGAACACTTCACCCCAACAAGGACCATGATCCTATCTGGTTGCCTAGACACATGGTTTTGTTTCGTAGGCAGCGTGAGAGCGTGGCTGGCTCCCACCTCGGTTGGACTGAATAAGTGGCAGATGTATGAAGGCAGACCATGTTAAATCACATGAGCATACACATGGTCTTACTAGAGATATGCTGAAATAGCATAGCAACCTCAAAACGTCCTGAATTACCAACCTAATTGTGCATTAGACAAGCAGCTCAGTGATATAATGCACAGAGTAAATGTTGATATTTTCTGCCTCATAGCAGAATTGCTTCAAAGTAAATCATTATTCCAACTGTTAAGGCTCCCTCCCACTAAATACAATGCTCAGTCAACTCTCCAGCCTTTGAGGAATACCATTGATTACATGGTATTTACCCCATTGAGGACCAAGGGTCAGGGGTCATCCTGTGCCTTAAAACCCAAATCCCAAGCCCATTGTCTGGTTAAGGGTGAGAAAGCAGGGGGCAGTGACAGCCAACTTTAGGGCTTATTCTCTCATAAAGAAGCTCCTCTGCACTTATTACCAAAGCTTACTGGAAAACTCTACAACTGCAAATCCTTTTTGTTTGAAAAGTTAACAGAGCACAGCGAGGCGAAATGCCACCACTAACACATACAAACACTTCCCTGCCTCCGAAGGTTTTTGTTTACACTTCAAGATATTATTTGTTATTTTTATTTTCAGCGTCGGTTGCGCAGAATAAAACCGAAAACGACTGCTGAGCTGTTGTCACCGAGTGTCAACCTGAGATCAAGAGTGAGATTCTTGTGACAGAATATTTGTCATATTTCTTTACTCAAGTTTCAGTATTGTTGGTGACAGAAGGATCAGGATATACATCTGTAAGAGTGTGTGAGTGTGTCAGGGAGTAACGCTTTACCTCCACAAAGAAAACTGCAATGTTGAAACTTTCAGAGCAGACAGAACAAAGTACGCAGGCTGCATTGGAACAAGCATTTACAATATATGATAGTTAACAATGAAAAAGAGATGAGAAGATTGATTAAAGTAGCTCTGACGCATCTCAAAGTAGATAATATGTTATTCAGTTGGTTGAGGGCTCTGCTCGGCTTTGCCTGCAGCTAAACCAAGCTGGACAAATTGGAATAGAAAGCACTCCCCCTGCTGGTCGCTGCAAATATTACGAGAGAAACTGGTTAAAGTGGATCAAGGCTCCACATCACAGGTCATGCAGAGACTGCATTTTGTGCTTCTGAAATGTCTTTAGCCATTATTAGATAGATCATTATCCAGGCTCCACTGTTGCACAGTGCATAGTGAACTGGCGGCAGAAAGTGATGCTGGTTAGACAGTGAAAAGATTTCCTGTATGGTCAGCGGATAAGGGTAGTGGGGAGGGTGCAGAGGCGTTGAGAATGGAGAATCTTTTGTCTTCAACTAAAATATTGTGATCCGTGGGTGAGAAAGGGCCTTGGTCATTAGGCAACAGCATAAAGACAGGGATTGTAGGAGTTGCGTGAGGAACCTATGACTAATGGGCTTGGTCAATGAGGGCCTGAACCTCATTGTGTGCCCTTTGTGCAAAAGTCCACAGGCTAAAGCCTCTGAACAGGTGCAGTTCATTCCACCGGATCGCCTCCCTACAGGATTGTTAAGATCAGGGAATGTCTTTCATCCTGTCTTCTTTCTGTTAATGATTACGAATTATCAGTTCTATTAGTCCTGTTTTTTTTTTTGGGGGGGGGGGGGGGGGGGGGGGGGTCTAACTAGGTTAGAAAAGAAGCATCATAATTTTAAAGAAGGGGCTTTGTGCTCCTATGCCAAATTGTACTTATCCATGAAATGTGAGGTCCAAAAAGGCGTCTTGTTTTGTTTGAGGAAATTGTGATACGTGAATTAGTAAACAATACACAGGGAATGTTTCTGATTTATCCCTGAAAATGTGAATTTGCTTGATTTGTTTCTTTTTCTTTGTACTTTGAACAGGCTTGTCTGTTAACTTGATAGAACCTAAAGCAAGTGTCTGACACTCTTCCCTCTTAGTATGAGTGTGCTGTATCCCTTTCCCTGCGTTAATTCCAATTTAATTGCCAGTTGCCTCAAGGCACTTCAATAACAGTAACAAATGATTTGATTTAGTGGACCTCATCAGACTGCATTTTAAATGCGACACAGCAACCCCACTTGAATTCCAATGAAGTGCTGGCACAGTCCTCTGTTTACTAATGATCCTCCGCTGGAGATGTCTGATTGAATCTGAGTCAGGAGCAATGGGACCTGCTAGCATTGTAAATGATCTGCAACCTGAGCAGACAGAGAAATAAGGACCTCATAATCTCACATTAAAGCCTCACTCTCCAGGACATGCACATTACGTCCAATGCAGCTGATTAACCAGTCCCACAGTCTTACCACACATATGAATTTGCATCGGTGTGAACGCCAGAATGGATTTGAGTGCTGGCGTACACAGCCTGTAGATCAAGTGTTGACTGTATGACAGCCAATGGATCTTCTTCACATAGCCATTTTGACTTGAGCTACCCTGCCAGCGACTCCCTATCTGTATTCCTCTCCACACTCTGTGCAACAGGAAAGCAGCCCCAAAGAGATGCCAGGTCACACACAGGATTAAACTGGATTGTGTTTTTTCCTGCAGTCCTGCCTTTAATGGCTTGATATCACTACTTAACATTCTGCACAGAGCGCATAGTGTAGGCATCATTTAGGGTGGAGCTACTATCAGCCGCTCTTTGAGCACAGAGACAGAGGACTTCACAGGCTGGAGCTGACTCCTGATGGGGAATGAAGAGAATAATTACACATCTAACACACCAGGAAGGAGCCATTGATTGTGTGATTGGCATGCTGTGCATTGTGTGGGAAATTCTTAAAGAAAACAATGACTTTCATGGTTTAAAATAGAACGTATAAAGACTCACAGTTGAAAGTGCCTCTGGGCTTTTAGGGGAGTTAGTTTAGGTAGAGGCACTTGCTCTTTGAAAGAAGCTTTTCCCTCAGAGGACTCACACAAAGTTGAAGTGACCCAGTTTCCCCACTTAAGGCCCTGTCTGTGTATGGTACTGAAATAACTGTGTCTGTGTCTTGTGCGTTCTCCAGGGACTGACATGGCGGTGTTCTGTCTGCTGTGTGCAAAGCGCTTCCAGACCCAGAAGGCCCTGCAGCAGCACATGGAGGTCCATGCAGGCATGCACAGCTACATCTGTAGCCACTGTGAGCGCCCCTTCCCCAGCCACACTACCCTCAAAAGACACTTGCGCTCGCACACGGGTAAGAGACGGATCGTTTGCGCCATCATCGCTATCTACAAGTGTTATCTATAGCGAAACATAAACATGTGGTGTCAAAAGCATGCATATGTTGGAAGAGAGACGGCTGGATTTATTTTCGTATATGGGTTAATTTCCTTAGGTTACTGGCTTTAAGGTTTAAGTCAATTTGCATGCATCCTCTCCCACCCTCCTTTTCTCTTCTCTATAAGATGACTCACCTCTCTGATGACAGCACTGTACCGTTATGGCCGGTGCATATTTTGGGCAATTTCATCCTGTTTATATTTTGGGTTCTTAGACAGCCTTTGGGCTTCTGCAATTCACGGCTGTCAGTTCTAGTGTAGTTCACCCAAAATGATAGAGGAAACCCAAATAAATATTGAAGGAAGAGCAAATGGAAATGACTTGTCTGTGTGTTCTACCGAGGGTGAGTCTTAGTGCCGCAGGAGACGGAGAGATATTTACTGAAAAGATGTCCCCCTTTCTTCTTTTACCTTAAATAACACTCCCAGCTGTCATGACTGCTTGATGTCTAGACAGGAGAAATACATAATTGATGTGAAGAGACAGAAGTGAAGGGAGTTTTGGCCATGGCAGCGTATCTTGTTTGTATGCCATTCTGCTTGGAAGTAACATTTTGTAAATGTCATCTGCTCCACAGTGGGGTGGGGGATTGGAGAGAATCGGCCTGTAATGAGGAGAGCAGTGTATCCTCTGACTTGGCTGTTGCTGTGGACACTGAGATAATGAGGCACATAGGTCATTGGAGATGAGTCAAATCCTCAGCCTAGGAGAGAAATAGATTAACTACAGTATAGAGAACAGAGCAGCACATGTCTGAGAGACTTTTATTAGCTATTAGCAGACAGCCAAGAGGAGTGTCCTCGTGTCATAACATTAGCAACGTCTGAAAGCACATTATTTTCCCTGCTTGATATGCATGTGCAGAAAGGGCTCTGTGACTATTTGACCTATGCAGCGACATGTGCACCCAATACCATGTCGTGCCAAAAATAAAGTTGGCCTTTGATACGATCTCACGATAATGGGCTGTGTTGGTGTTGTAGCTGCTGCTGTTGTGACACGACTGTGTTTTCAGGCGATCACCCGTTTGAGTGTGAGTTCTGCGGGAGCTGTTTCAGAGACGACGGCACGCTGAGGGGCCATAAACGCATCCACACAGGAGAGAAGCCTTATGAGTGCAACGGCTGTGGGAAGAGGTTCAGCCTAAAACACCAGCTAGAAACACACTACCGTGTACATACAGGTAAGAGTTCAGGGATGTAAAATAGTCCACCGCATATATTTTCACTCCTGTTCGAGTAATATGTGCTAAAATCATGACGCCCCTGTCCTGCAGCAGCCATGGGTTCGAGTCTGACCTGTGGCCCTTTGCTGCATGTCATCCCCTCTCTCCACCTTTCCTGTACATCTGGAACAGTCATATCTATCTAATTCTATCTAAAAATTAAGTTGCCTTTTTTTTTTATATTAACTATATAGTTTTTACCTGTTTTTAAAGATTTAAGTCTTCACTTGGAATGAATTGGCTTGAGGCTGAGTGCTACAGACAAGGCAAATAACTAATGCATTTACAGCTTTGGTCTTTTCATGGGGAAAAATGTCTTTTTTAGAGTCAAACAACTACATTTATGATAAAGGGCATTACATTTTTTATTGAAATTGAGACTAATTACAGTAAATCCTAACTACTACATTTTTATGGTTTAACAGCTTTTTTTAATGGAAGAGGAAACTTACAGAGTACCTTTAAATGTAATTACTTTATATAAAAAAATACTATTGAATTAAATCATTAAATGTTAAAAGTCTACTTTTTATTGCAGGTTACATTTTACTGACTGCTATCCGATTCCTCACCGAGGTCAGAGAAACCTCTGTCGTATTTGCAGCGGATGACGCTGACTCGCCAATATCTAATAACAAACTGAAGGCAAACTGATATAGGGCTAATCTTAGAGCACAAACACACTCACACCACACACGCAAACAACACATAATACCACAACAAGTACAGTGGACTGAAATAGAGGTGAATCCCGTTTCACCTGGCAGGCCTCTGACTCCAGGTCTACAAGGTTAATGCTGTATTGTTGAATTTTTCAGGTGAGAAGCCATTCGAGTGTAAGCTGTGTCACCAGCGGTCCAGAGACTACTCGGCTATGATCAAGCACCTGCGCACTCACAACGGAGCGTCTCCGTACCAGTGCACCATCTGCCAGGACTTCTGCCCGAGCCTGGCCGCCATGCAGAAGCACATGAAGGGCCACAAACCGGAGGACGTGCCGGCGGACTGGAGGATAGAAAAGACTTACCTGTACGTCTGTTACGTCTGAGCAGGACTTGGACCCCATGCACAGTCTGACACATGCGCACACGCACACACACACACACGTACACAGAGTCACTGTCGGGTGAAAACCTCGTAAACTCCAGTGTTGGTGATTTTCAAAACTCCTTTTGAATAAACTGAAAAATGTATTGTGGGAAGTGGTCATTCTGGCAAGTGCAAGGTTTTTTCCTGACGATAAAGACATGCAAGCATGAATACAAATCTGTGTACACACTACACTAGGGCTGCTACTAATGATTGGTTTCATTATCAGTGAGATTATTTTTTACTACTAAGTGATAAATCTGAAAAGTCTGGAAATGTCAAAAATAGACACATTTTGGTGACAAGGTGACATCTTCAAATAACTAGTTTTGCCCGACCAACAGCCCAGTCCAAAGAGATTCAGTTAATAATGATATAAAACAGAGAAAAACAGCAAATTCTCACATTTTGAGAAGCAGGAAACCCGAAATATGTAACGTTTTCCCCCCAAAAATGACTTAAACGATTGCTAAAATCGTTGACAACTAGTTTCCTGACTTACTGTTTCAGCCCTAGTGCACACAGACATACAGACACACATTCTCCCTCCCTCGCACACACACAGTTTTGATAATAACTGTATCTCTAATGGATCCACTGTGGTTAAAATCAATGCCACAATGGCCGTGACTGCTGACCTGTATGTGTAGCAGGAACTTTTTTTTGATTGATTGCTAAACCATCAGGCAACCTGAGTCATCTTCTATGATTGTGCAGTAGATGTTGAAAATAATTCCACGAAAGCTTGATTGGCTGAACTTTGCAACATTTTCTCTCCTAAAATCCTGTGACTTCTCAAGTTTTTTTTTTTTTTCCTGTTGTTGGATTTTTATTTTGGAGTTGTTTATTTTCTGCATGTTTTACTTGAATGGCTGCCACGTTTTGACCTCATAAGCTTGATCTCTTTAATTGCCTTGTCTTTCTTGCAGTGGGTGTTATTGTTTCGAGGTAGCTGGCTTACAATTTGAGTTTCTCTTGCAATGTAATAGGTTTTGCTATTTATATGTTGTTTATTTGTTACCAAATATGTGCTGGTTTTCATCACACAGTCTGTCTCTTGGGATGATTTCTAGTAGAGCGAGCTCTACCTCTCCTCACTTTTCACTGTTTGTTTTAAACCTACTGCAAACTATTCGTCCATTTAGTTGTTTTAATTTTCTAACAAATACATCAGAATTTAAATGGTCAAACAGTGTGTAAAAAATGCGAACAGCCTCAACATGGCTTTTACGTGTAGTTTTTTATCACTAGCTATATATAGATGTCTTATAAAATCACAGAATCAGAATTTTCTAGGAGAAAATTGAAGAAAACATGAAAAGAAGTTGTTTTGTTTTTTTACAAAACCTGAAAAAGAAAATTCTGACATTGAATCACTATGAGCAGGTTATTGTCAGTTATAGTGTAGCTGTAATGTACAAACTGTCATGGTATGTTATTCCCTTATGTGAGCCTAACACAGGCCTTATAGATTTAAACATGTTGTATTTTTGTATTACAGTAATTTGCTATCTGTTTACATTTGGTATGATTTGAGAAACATCTTAAATGTGTGTGTTTTATAAGTCTCTGATTTGATTAAGATCCCTCCCTTGTGCCTCTTTTATAAGTAGAGCATTGATGTGCTTGAGTACATGGGTCTGTGCTATTGGTAGTTGTTTCTGGGTGTTTGTTTATTGTTACTTAATTAAAGATAGACTGCCATGTAGATCCACTTTGTCTGAAAATTGCAACTGGAAGCAACATACTGTGATAGTGGCTGATACTCTGAGACAAGCGTGTACTTTTACATTAAAAATTGCTTGGAACTTGCATCAAATTGTTCCCTTCAAAAGTGACAATGGACTGAGATCTTTGGAAGACAACCGTGTGTATAGCAAATCTTGGCGTCTGTGGGCATTACCAATGCCTTCTTAAGTAGCCAACAACACTCAGTGCCATGAAAACACACATTCACTGTATCTATTCTACATGAACATGCACTATAAATGGATTTCCTTGGTGGACCAAAAGAAATAGAGCACTTTTGTTTGAAAAGGGTTTTTTCTTTGATCTTTCTATGTTGTGATAATGCAGATGTCCTTTTATTTGATGTGTCCTAGAAGGATGTGATTAGCATTGTTTAGATTATGTCAATGTCTGTCTACCTCAGGGCCAGATCAAAGCTCGACCTGGTATCCAATCAGGGTTGTTCTTCTTGCCATGTGTGCAGTAAAATCCCTCTTCATTACAGCTTTGTAACACAGTGTGTGAAAGTGTTTTCTCAGTGTGGATTCAGGCACAACTCTGTATGCGTCAGTGTTCGGTGGCATGGTTAAAAAAAGAATAAAACAAGTTACTATTTTATGCATCTTGTCTCATTTGCCTACTGTTTCTGTTCTCTGTGTTCAATCGTGAAACTCTGTCACTGTTGGTGGTTCCCAACCTCCTTCTGCCCCCACAGGCCCTTACTGATGAACGCACCCCTTTACCGATACCACCCGTCATGTGCCAAATGTGTTCATGTGAACCAATTAGAAACCGGATGTTATTTAGATAAAAATGGATACTGTTAATGATAATTTTGTCACAACTGAATAGTCAGTGTTTGGATTGGTCTGGTCAAGTTTGCATTCATACGTCTATCACTTTGAGTGGTTTGTTTCAGCCATTTATCCATTACTTCTAGCTTACTGTTTCAGATGTTTATCCATCGCTTTTAGCCAACAATTTCAACCATTTATCCATCACCTTTAGACAACTATTTCCACTGTTTATTCATTACTTTTAGCGAACAATTTTAAGCATTTATCCATCACTTTTCACTAATTAAATGTTTATCCATCACTTTTCACTAACTGTTTAGGCTTCCCTGCTTGCTTGCTAATTAGTTTTCATGCTTTTTTTTTCATATCAATCTCAACACTTGGTGTACAGTACAGCTGACTCAATATAAAAAGGTATTTTAAATAGTAATTTCTATTTTTTCAAATCAGTTAAGCTTTAGTTTTCCACATACAAACTACCCCTGGGGTACACGTAGCCCTTGGAAATCACTAGTATAGGGTCTAACTCCTCTCTATAGCTTCTGTTGAGCTAATTCAACCTGAACATTTCACTTTTTACAGCACTGCTATAGCCCTGCCCATCATCTGGACAAAGACAATACTGCTGATCCCTCTTAACGGTTTATTGGCTCCTGCCACAAACCTTCACAGTCTCAAGCTGTTTATAGAGTTTATGTGTCATCTGGGCGACTTGCAAACAGCTGGAGTCACTCCAGGCTCTGTGGTGACCTCTGATGGCACTCTGCCAGAGCCACAGCTGGCCTGTGTTTTATCCCAGATGTGAAAAGAGGCTAAGAATCAGTATATCAGGTCTGCCACTGCTCCCTGCACAGCACAGTGAAAGTGAGACCTCTTAATTACAAGTACTGACAGCATTTACTGTAAATGTTTTTAACGTTTGTTTTTATATTTGCCTAATGCCTTTGGGATTTAACGGGTTATCGTCCCAGTGCAATGCGTTCCTTTGGTTTCCTTTTCCATCTTCTTCATTTTACCATAAAGTAGCCTCTGAGTACACCGTGAATGTTTTATTGTGCAATCTATTTTCTAGCTATATGGCTTAAACCCCGTCAGCTAAATTCAAGCCTGCAGTGTTTACAGTTTCTCTCCTCAATGACCATACGCTCTCTTGTTTTCTAGTGCCCTGTGTTTTAAAGCTCACTCAGTTTTTCCACAGGGATAATTTACGGTATTAGTGTTCCCTTCTTTCCACTAAACTCATGTCCAATGAACCACAGCCTAAACATTGTAAATATATGTATAAATGCTATTTGAAGAAAATCTTTAACATTGCTGATGCCCATAATGAGATTCTGTAAATTTATAATCTGACAGGTCTTGAACACTTTTTCATGTGAAACCCTTTAAGTGTTCACCATGTCTGTCTGATTTTTGCTACATAACATTATGTATACTTTGTTTGCTCTTTTTAAGGTCAAATATTAGATAATTTTACCTCTTCAGATCTCTAAAATTATCAAAATTACACAACCTGACGAGGGAAAAAATCAATCTTTGCTTGTAGAGCTCACATCAGACATGAAACAGCTGACAAGGGGTTGATTTGCTTTGTATTTAAAAAGGTCACAAGCCAAAAAGGTCGGGAAGCACTGGCATAAGCAATAAGTAAGGAAAATGTTATTTATATAGCACCTTTCAAAACATAGGTTACAAAGGTCTTTACAAAATGATAAAACAACAAAAGATTAGTACAACACGAACAATACGACAGGGGAACAAAGTGAAACATCTTTTTAGGGCAGGTGTCAGAACATATTAGTAGCATATACGTGTCACTCCCTTTTCCTGCCTGTCTCCTACCCTAGACTTCAGGACTGCAATGGAAATAACTTTAGTACTTTATGCAGATCCATTGTATTTTAATTGATCAAATTACGTCAATCAACATAGCACAATAAAAACAAAACCATTAGAGGCAGATCACAAATCAAAACTGTGCACAAGACTGAGGCACAAAATAAATACATCTTCAGCTGTGACTTAAAACACCCAAGAGAGTTTGCTGACCTGAGTCCCAGGGGGAATCTGTTCCACATCCTGGGACCCAGGACAGCGAATGCACAGTCCCCTCGTGTTTTCAGTCGAGGCCTGCTAGTTGTACCTCGAGGACCTGAGGGGCCTGCATTAGTAGTTCCCTAATATACTCTGGAGATTATTCAAAGCCTTATAGATTGAGTCCTAAATTTAACCTGAAGCCAGTAAAGTGACATCAGAACCAGGGTGATGTGAGAGCAATATGAGGTCTGGACTAACTGTAACAGGTGACAAGAGCATTACGGCAGACTAAGCAGGAGGATACAAAAACATGGATAACCATTTCCGACTGATGGAAAGATAATATTTGACATGTTGAAAATAATGGCAAACGTGGTTAAAGATGGAGGGCATTAAACTAAAAGGCCCGAACTTGTTGGCAGGGCAATGCACAAGGCATGATTCACCAACTTCAAAGTTACAGCTACACACGCCACAAGGACTCAGAGTGCTACATCGGAAATGCAAATGGAAAGAGAATGAATAAATTAGTACGTTGAACTGCAATTTCAGAAGAGACGACCCAGATTAATTTCCTAAAAACAAAACAGTTGTTGTCTGTGAAATCAAGTATTGATTTTGCATTGGTAAAATGTACTGTCAAATTCATTTACACCATCTATTATCTATTCAGCTGTTAGTGGTAACATATTTATTCATCCATTTATTGACTGAATTGAAATATTTCGTGACAAATTAATTTATTCACTTGAAAATTCTTAATGATATAATCTCTTTATGGTCAAATTTGATTAAATGTATTTATATAGCGACAAATAATAACAGAAGTTATCTCAGGACACTTTTCATATAGAGCAGGTCTAGACTGTACTCCCTAAAATTTGCTTTATTGTTCATTGTTAAATTAATTCCTTGCTTTATGACCATTTGTAAGATTTTCCAGGTCCAAGAGCTTTACAGTAGATCTAGGGTCATATGTTGTTGACCACTGAACTCATAACCAGAGCAGATGGGGGTTGAGTGCCTTGCTCAAGGGCATTTAGAAAGTCATCAGCAGTCGTAAAAAAGTGTGGGAAAAGCTCTTAGATATTTCTAGTGGGTGCAACCATCTGGTCTGAAGCATTTCTTTCAAACCTTCTCCAGTTTTCATTTTGTTATGAAGAAATTGATTTAGCTTTGAAGCAAATATGTAATTTTGACTCTGCCAAAAACAACAATCACCTCTGTAACCCCCCTCCACCTCTGATCTCCAACCCTGCCTTGAGTGCACGGCCATGCTCAGTGGAGGAGCAGATTGAGTGGGAGCCTGTGTTAATGTAATCTCCTCTGTTTAATTAGAGTGAGCGTGGTGGGCAGCTAAAGCAAACCACATTACCCACCATCTGGTGGGGAACAGCTCTGCTCTTACCCACCCTCACTATCATTAGCCTCTACAAGACAAGACACAAACACATACATGACAGCTATTTATTCATCCTGCCACTTTCAATACAGACACAACTGCATACCATTTAGCGGCTATGATGAGGCCATACTCGTGCTCAGACCTGTCACAAATGTATTGTTGTGTAATTACAATATGCTGCACACTGAAACATCAAAATTAAAATAGTTGTCAGAGACTATAAAAGCCACAAACTGTCCAACACAGGTGTTTTATAAAACAGTGTCTGATGGTTTTTCCTCAGACATTTCTGCCCAATTTTTCCATCAACTTTTCCCTCCAACAGTGAGTGGCTACAGTACATTCAACATATTGTAGGAGGAAACCAAATATTCAATTTCAAACTTTTGGATAACATGGTATTACTGATTATTTACACAAAAATGAATCCAGCTTTTACTTCGACTGGACTGCATGGTTATCCTCAGCTGATATTCGAGTCTGCCACAAGATGGCAGTATGCTACCACAACTGACATACAGCCCAGACTGCAGGCAGGCAGGCTCACAGAGGATTTACTGCTCCACAGAAGGCAGAGCCCACTGGCAGCCAGCAGAGCATTACAATTATTGAAGCACAGAGGAGAGAGCCTGGCTGTGTGGGGCACAGATTAGTGGTTTCTGTCCCCACTCTGTGTTGTATCATGACCTGGACAGTTTACAGTGGGTTTTACTCCTTGACAGAGTTATTATAGTTTTGTATTTTTCATTAGTTTTGTATTTTTATTTCATTTAAAAGTTTTGTTTTAATTTCAGTTTGTGTCAGTTTAGTTTGTATTCCTTTTATTATTAGCTAATAATAACGCGGGGTATTTGTCAGGGCAAGATTTAAAAAGGTCCAGTGTTTAACATT